GGTTGACTTTGATCCCGAAGGTGGATAATGTGGAAAGCATGCGTCAGCTCAGGCCAATTAGCTTGTGCCAGTTTGTGTACAAGATTATAACTAAAATTATGTATGAAAGGCTTGCTTGCCTCTTACCCACGATGATTTCGGAAGGCCAGAACGCGTTCATCTGGGAACGAAAAATCGTCAAAAATTTCCTCCTAGGTCATGAGTTAATGCATTACCTGAAAATCAAGAAGCAGGGGAAGAAAGGATACATGGCTCTAAATGTCGACATGGAAAAGGCCTATGACAGTCGAATGGTCCTTTCTTCTCGGTGTTTTAGATAAGATGGGCTTTAACTCAACCTGGCGTGGGTGGATTCATGAGTGTTAGCGCTCGGCCTCTTTCTCTGTTATGATAAATGGCACCCCCAGGATATTTCACACCTATTAGAGGTTTGCGACAGGGAGACCCGTTATCCCCGCTCTTGTTTGTGATCTGCACGGAAGGGTTCGCGGCCCTCATTAGGCAAGCGATTTCGGCTGGGAAACTGGAAGGGATTAAAGTGGCCCTCCTAGTTCCCCATATATCCCATATTTTTTTCACAGATGATTCGTACCTATTCCTCCGGGGAACCCTCGAGTATTGTGAGAATTTGATTGAGGTGTTGAATGAATATGAAAAGCTTAGTGGGCAGCGGGTTAACTTGGCAAAGTCAACAGTCTGTTTTAGCAAGAATATCTCTCCTCCTGACTGGGAATTCCTGGCGCAGATCATGGGGGTGGGGGCGGTGGGGGTTCAGGATAAATATTTGAGACTCCCTACGCTTATTGCCCTGTCAAAAACCATGACCTTTCGGTATTTGGAGGAGAAGTTGCTTGCCCGACTTCAAGGATGGAAACAATGAACTTTGTCATAGGCGGCCAAGGAGACTCTGATTAAATCAGTTGCTTTGGCCCTTTTGTTGTATGTCATGTCTTGTTTCAAGCTGTCACTATCCCTGTGCCGCCTCTTGGACAAACATGTGGCCAGATTTTGGTGGGGTGTCGAGGCGGGTCGCTCTAAAGTTAGGTGGATGTCTTGGAAAAATATGTGTCGTAGCAAGCATGATGGGGGGATGGGGTTTCGTCCCTTTGAGCATTTCAATCAGGCGCTTTTGGCAAAAATTGGTTGACGCATTCTTAACGAACTCCAATCTCTGCTACATCAAGTCTATAAAGGAAAATACTTTCCGCGTGGATCGTTCCTCACAGCTGCGGCACGCTCGCGGCCTTCCTGGGGCTGGCAGAGTATTCTCTTTGGTTGGGAGCTCCTTTTGCAGGGGCTTCGATGGCAGATTGGGAATGGGCAAATGACCCCGTTGTTGGACTCCCGTTGGATCCTAGTCTGCATCCTTGTCCCCCGGCTTATAATCCTTGTGTGCTGCCTTGGGAGGAGATCAAGGTGAGTGAGGTTATTTGTCAAGGAGAGGGCCGTTGGTGTGATGCCCAGTTGCAACGATGGTTTGACCCACCTACAATCAGTGCAATTAAACAAATCCCTCTCCCGCGACAATCGGTGGAGGATAGAATGATATGGCATGGGACGTCTGACAGAATCTTTACGGTCAAATCAGCATATCACTTGGATGTTACTCTAGCTCAGCATAATGGGAATTCGAAAGCTATGGCTAGTTAGATGGATAGACCCAGTTGGATCCGTCTGTTAGATTCAGACATTCCCCCAAAGTTGAAGGTATTTTCTTGGCAAGTCTTTAATCGGCTTCTCCCTACTACAAAGGCTCTCATTGAGAAAAAGGTACAGATGCTCCCGCGGTGTCCGGTTTGCTGGGCCGCGTGTGAAACAATGGAGCAATTGTTTCTGGATTGCCCTGTGGCGAGGGCGTTATGGGATCATTCGGGATTGGACCAATTGGGTCAGGCTTTGCCGCGTCACACGTTTCCCCTGTTTCTGAAGAAGTTAATGCTTCGGCTTAGGCAACCAGACCTTTTTCTCACTATTATAGCGCTCTTATGGCGTATCTGGAGATCCCGGAACTGGGTAGTTTTTGAAGGTGAACAATTTGGTATCTCGGCTTTAATACGCCAATTTACCCAACAGTATAGCGAATGAATTGCCTTGCCAAGGGATCGGGATGGTCGATCTCCTATTTCGGTTCCCTGGTCCATGGCCTTGGTTAACCCGTCTGAGGTTGTTTGCCAATGGGATGGGGCGAAAAAAGCTGGCTCCCATTCGGCTGGTGTGATGGTTATCCGTCAGCGGTCAAGGGGTGTTATCCGGGTTCTGGGGATTCAGCTTCTTGATGTGGATGATCCTACGACGGTGGAGCTGCTTGTACTCAGGGAGGTTGTCCTTTGGTGTCTAAACCTGGGGGTTCCATACAATATGCTTTGAAGGTGATGTTAAGGTTGTGATTAATAAGATCAACCAATCTAATACAAGGGACAGTAGGGTGGGGGGCTTTGCTGCAGGAGGTAGTGTGCGATTTTTTGGCCGTAGTAACAATAGGGTAGCCCATGTGGTGGCTAGAAAAGCCCTGTCATTGTACCCGGCTTCATGTCGATCATTTGATTTTATGGCCTGACTAAATTCCAGGATGTAACTCTCTTCTTTGATTAATATATGATTATCTATTGTAAAAAGAAAAAACACGGTGTGATTCGCTATGAGAAACGATGAATTGATGTACTTTATTAATTAAATTTTTTTTAATTAATTTTTGGTTTTATTTTTTAATTTTTGTGAATACCCTTGAACAATTTCTAGGCCCACCACTGGTTTGCTTCGTGGATTTGAAAAATGAAGGTTTTGGTATAACTTGGATTTTGATAAACCATGGATATATGAGGGTTTTGGGTTCATTATGGATTTGAAAAAAACCATTGTTTGTTTCATGGTTTTCATTATGGATTTTGTTATTTAAATTTGTATGTATGAAGTGAATTTTACCTTTATTGCCCTCAATGGTATAAAAAGAAAAAGAAAATATGAGGGGTAGATTGGTAAAAAATGATGGACTTCAAACTTTATAATCAATTCCCACCTAAAGAGGTGAGATTTTCAAGTCCGTGGGGTCCAGGATTTGGACCCTTAAGACTATCTTTAGTGCAAGGTTCTAAAATTCCAAAATTTGGGGCTAGAATTCTAAATCTAGCCCATTCAAAAGTATTTTTGCATTAGAGGGGAGGTCCAAAATTTCAGAATTTGACATTAACTCATTATTCAGTTTAGTGTAGATTTCATTATTCTAATTACAAAATTTGTTCTTTATTTTTATATAGCCACTAATAATTAATTAAGACGAACATTTCGATAAATTTTTTTGAATTCCGACAATAAAAAAAATATTGTCAAATATGACGTAATTAATGACGAAAGCAACATTTTTTCTTTTTTGGATAGAGAGATGATGAATATCTTTGAGAGAATTGAGAGGAAGAAAATGAAAGTAATGAAGTAGAAGTGAAGGATTTGATGTGTATTTATTGGAGAATTTTGGGAAAAATAGCTGTTGGGTGCAAATAGCCGTTAGGGGTGAGATTGGGACTGATTGTGTATTTTTTTTAAATCTCCAACGGTCTGAAGGAAGGAGGAGCAACGGGGTGGGCGAGTGTTGCGCACGCAGGCGCGGGATTGGTGGCTCCCCTCACGGCGCTTCTTCTCCATCAAGAATGGTGGGCCCAATCAATTTGCAATTTCTTGGCTGCTAGTGGGCCAAATTTGCAGCGAAAATTGCTTTTGGTCCAATTATTTGGACTTTTGAACCTACATTAAAGTTGTTGGGGCCAATCTTTTGCCTTTTTGGATCCCCATTAAAGATGGTCTAAAGTCCATGGGTTCCACGAATTTGGTTTCTCTAAATACTTGAAGCAAACAATAAATTTTGAAAAAAGTCCATCATGAATCCAAATCCATCATCAAATCCTTCAACAAATCCACCAAACAAACAAACCCTAATAATAGTTTTGCCTCACTAGAGTATTTTTTTTGAATGGTTGCCTCACTAGAGTATTGATTAAACTATTCACCAATAATAGACTATAGGTGTAGTGATATCATCGATACAGAACAATAATCTTAATCATTTCAAAATTCACAATTTTCCATCTGACAATTTTTTATTGCGCTCATCTTTTTGTGTGCATGTTATGCACACACCTCATAATTATGGTTTTGATCCTACAATACTCATGAATGTCAAAACTATCTGAAGCATTAATTTTTATTTATTTATGTGAAAAGCGTGAATTCTAATATGATGAATAAGATAATGAGAACTTTTTCCGAAAAATAATATGAGATTTACTTGGTTTTTAAGAATCTGAAGGTTTAGCTTACGCAATGCATGAATTAGGTGTAGTTCTAAGGAAGACAAATACTTTGTCTACAAGATACGGCTGTCTACAAGATCTAGATTGAAGGAAAAAATGCTCTCTGCGGATTCGTGCGGAAGTCTTCAAGATACAGCGATGCTACATCCCTCCGATCGCCCACCGGACACCAGCCAGGGTCCGGGCTATTTCAATCCTTTTGTTGACCCGGCACAGGTGGTTAGGGACGGATCTACATCACCAGATGTCATTTGTGCCAAATCTTCTACACTTAGCTATGCGAGCGCGGTCACCGGCGCCAAGAATCAGAGTCCTTCTTCACCTCAGGCCACCAAGTGGCTGCCGATCGGAGAACAGGATCTGGTTCCTGGAGAACACATGGCGGAACCGGCCCTGAAGATCTCCCCAGGGCTTCGCTCCCGTTTGTGCGCGCCGTGGCAGAGGACGTTGATTATTAGGCCTCTGGGCTGCAAGGTTGGGTTCACAGCTCTCTGTTCTCGTCTCCGCTCCCAGTGGAGACCCACCAGATCTTTGGAGGTATTGGCTTTGGATCAAGAGTGTTTTTTGGTGAAGGTTGACAACGATCAAGACTACTTCAAGGCACTTACGGATGGTCTGTGGACGATCTACGACCACTATCTCCTAGTTCAACAATGGTCACCGGATTTTTGTGTTGCAGATCCCCTGCCGAAAAAGATGATTGTGTGGGTCCAATTTCCGGCGCTCAAAGTTCACTTCTATCACAAAGAGGTGCTGACAACCTTGGGGAATTTGATTGGCCGAACAATCAAACTGGATTTTCATACCTTGAATCAACAACGAGCCAGGTTCGCTAGGATTGCTGTTGAAGTGGACCTCTCCAAGCCCCTGGTGCCTCGGATTTATCTCGATGACAAATGGCAAAAAGTAGAATATGAGAACATCCCAGCCGTTTGCTTCGAGTGTGGTAGAATCGGCCATTCTACGGCGACATGCCCAAAGGTCTTATCTTCAGAATCGGCCGGGGTCATGATCGTTGCCGATCTGAGATCCCCGGTGAACAGTCAATCGTCGTCTCCGGAGCCACAAGCGGGATTCGGGCCGTGGATGTTGGTATAAAAAAAGAGCAAGCGGAATCCTAGGGATTCTGGAAAGAAAGGGAAAGGGGAGGAAGATTCTAGGGCCACAAATCAGGATCCTCAAGGCAGAAACGGGAAGGTCTCTACAAAGAGCAAGGAAGGCAAAGAGCCTCTCATAACCACGACGATGATGCCTAATGTTGCTCAACCCCCCCCCCCCCCCCCAACAAGGCAGAAATGGAAACGGGGAGCAGAATAAATCACGGGAGGAGGCTAGGAAGGGAAAGAACAAGGTTACCTCGGAGGGCAAAGAGGTGGGGAAAGGAGTCTTAGGGCCACACCCAAGTTTGGTAACACAAGTGAGTGGGCCGAAGCCCAGTAAAGCTTTGAGCAAGGAGTCTTCTAAATCGAACCCTGTTTCCCCGGTGAAGGCCCACACCACTGATCCCTCTACGTCGAAGGCCTAGAAACAGCAACTCTCTTTGCCATCGCCTCCTTCACAGATGCTGACCGGCCCAAATGGGACCAAAATGCAGATTCTCTCCTTCCCCTCTGCGTCTGTGACCACATCCAAGTCCTTATCCCTGAATTCACCGAGATCGACAGGAGCAAGGGCTAAGAAAAAAGCGAACAAAACCTCCTCGAAGAAATCATCTCCGATTAAGCTCAACCCATGCAAAGCTTTGCAAGTTTGGTCACCTGTCAAGGAGAGGAAATCTAAATCCAGAGCTAGAATGGCCTCCCAAAATTTACAGGAGCTTACCGCGTGGACAGAGGCGGCTCGGCGACCTGAAGAGACCATGAATATGGAGGCGTCACCAACTCCTCTGGCTGACCTCCCAATCTCGTCAGCCGTGGAAACTAAGGAAGCCCAAAGTGTTGGCACTTAATCCGGTGATGCCGTTTCTTTCCCCTGCTTCTGTTTTTATCCTTTTTGCTATGTCTATGTCTAATTTTCCTAGTTTCAAATTTTTTTCGTGGAACGTTGGTGGAGCAGGGAGCAAAGCTTTTGCGCGTTCCCTTAAAATGTCCCTTCGATTTCATAAGCCTGATTTTGTGATTCTTCTTGAGCCTCAGATTAGCGGTATTGTTGCTGATAAAGTTTGCGACAAGCTTGGGTACTCGAACACCATTAGAGTGGAGGCCACTGGCAGGAAAGGCGGCATTTGGCTCTTTTGGGACGAGAGTCGGTTCAGTGTTCATTTGCTCTCTGCCTGTGACCAGCATCTGTCAGTTTGTATCTCGCTGGGCAATGGTTTAAAATGGGCTCTCTCGGCTGTGTATGCTTTAGTACATCTCCAGATTCAATTCAAAGGGCCCTGACGTGAACGGACGCTTTGTCATTAGAGTGTTATAACCGGAGAAAGCTTTTTTTTACCTTACGCCCTACGTACCGCTAGCCTGTCTGATCTTCCTTCACTCCTCTCACAAAGTTCGAGCTACTGCGTAACCTCATGCTCGCTTCTTTTCCGAGGAGGGGAACCATTCAGCCATGGACCGTTCTGATTTAGTTCATGCCGTCGCATTTGAAGATTCATCCGGTCTTTCATGTGAGCCAACGTCAGTTAGTGGAATTTTCGTCTGCCCAACACTTGTCGTTAAAATACTAACTCAACACTGCGCCGGGTAATTTATTACCTTTTTGGGGTGGAACGAAGACACTACGACTCCTCTTCATAGCGGGACCGGCGGGATACTCCCTTGTGCCATTCTTTCATTTTCCCCGTATTTTTGCTTGAAAAAGCAAACTGTCCCAACACACAGCCTATAGATCTCCACAAACAGCTTCTTTAATGGTGATTCCCTCGGCTTAGCCCGTGTAAACCTCTTAGGCGAGAACGGTCTTCTTTCTTCTCTTTTCTCTTCTTTCATGTTTTTGACATGCCACTTACTTCCTTACTGGGAAATACTCTTTGCTACTTTTCCCAGAGGCGCGTCAGAGTCTTCAACGGAGATTATGGGATCAGCTCATCGAGGAGAGCAAATCTATTGATGTTCCTTGGCTGTTGACAGGGGATTTTAATGCGATCCGAACCATGGAGGAGAAATCTGGCCCTGCCTCTAGCGCCACCTTCCGTCGATGCAATCTTTTCAATGTAAGGATTAACCTTGCGGAGCTAGTTGATCTTGGTTTTTCAGGCCCCCGGTTTACCTGGTCCAGGGGAGGACAACGTGCTAGCTACAAAGCAAGTCGTTTGGACAGGAGCCTCTGCAACCTTGTTTGGAATTCAGTCTTCCCCAATTCTTCAGTTCTCCATCTTCCTCGCTACCACTCTGATCATAATCCGATCCTCACTTTGGTTGCCAATCAGGGGCACAATTCCTCTTCTCAACCTCCTTTTAAGTTTGAAGCGGCCTGGCTTACTCATGCTAACTTCACTGATTTTGTTGCAGGTGCTTGGGAGGAGAATGAGGCTCTACCAACTGCCCTAAACAGCCTTGCTGCTAAGCTTCGGGATTGGAATACAAATATCTTTGGCAATGTTCAGCAGCGGAAAAGGAGGTTGTTGGCTCGGCTTAAGGGAGTTGAGGACAGGCTGGACTCCTCCTTCAACTCCGGGCTAGCAAAACTTCATGTCAAGATCGAGTCTGAGTTGGATAAAGTCTTGGAGCAGGAGGAGCTTATATGGCTTCAAAGATCTAGGGAGAAATGGGTGAAGTTTGGAGAAAGGAATACAGCCTATTTTCACCAGCAAGTGAACATTAGAAGACGCCGCAACATAATCAGATCACTTCGAGACGGAAATGGGAATTGGACTGACGATCCTCAAACTCTTGAGTCTCTTGTTTTTGGTTATTTTACTAACCTCTCTTTACAAGATGATTCTTGCTATGAGGATCGCCTCCCCAAGCTCGCTTTTCCTCAACTCTCTCAGTCCGAGATGCAGAATCTTCTCCGTCCATTCACGATAATGGATGTCCACAAGGCGGTGTTTGAGATGAAACCATTCCAGGCACCTGAACCAGACGGATACCAGGCAGGCTTTTATCAAAATATGTGGAATGTTGTCGGCAAATCTCTAACCGACATGGCTCTTTCTTTTTTTGAGGCAGGACCGCTTCCGGAGGAGGTCTCTGAGTCGACAGTTGTCTTGATTCCTAAAGTTGAGAGCCCAGAATACGTCTCCCAACTGCGGCCGATCTCCCTCAGTAATGTCAGCTTAAAGGTGATCACCAAAGCGATGGCTAACCGCCTAAAGCCGGTCATGCGAAGGCTGATCTCACCTAGACAAAGTAGTTTCATTCCGGGCCGGCAAACCACAGATAATGTGATCATTGTCCAGGAAGTTCTGCACTCCTTCAGGAAGAAGAAAGGAAGGAAATAGGGCCTAATCTTGAAGATCGACCTGGAGAAGGCCTATGACATGCTTCGTTGGGACTTCCTCAGGGACACCCTGAAGGAAATTGGACTTCCTAGCTCCTGGATCAGATGTATTATGTATTGTGTTGAGCAAAACAAGATGCGAATCCTCTGGAATGGCAAGCTTTCGGCCCCGATCACACCGACCCGCCGAGTTCGCCAGGGAGACCCTCTTTCTCCTTATCTCTTTGTCCTTTGTATGGAGAGGCTCTCTCACATTATTGATAAAGCTGTGAATAATGGGCAATGGAAAGCGATTAAACTCTCTGCGAATGGCCCGCCACTCACCCACCTCTTTTTTGCAGATGACCTGTTGCTGTTCGCAGAGGCAGAGACGAGACAAATCTAAGTCATCAAGACCTGTTTGGAGGACTTTTGTTTCAGCTCAGGGCAGAAGATCAACTTTGAAAAATCAATTTTGTATGTCTCCCCAAACATTCAGCGCTCACGGGCCTCGAGGCTAAGCCAGAAAGCCGGCATTCCTCTAAACCAGAAGCTCGGGAAGTACTTGGGGATTCAAGCGATTCATGGATGAGTTACCAAGGGGCGATACCAACATCTCTTTCTCCGTATACAGAAGAAGCTCGCACCTTGGAAGGCCAAACGTTTATCCTTTGCCGCGCGTCTCACTGTTGTCAGATCAGTATCTTCTTCTTTGCCTACTTACCATATGAATACTGAGCTTCTCCCGAGTGCAGTTTGTAAAAGCATTGACAGGCTGAATCGAGACTTCGTGTGGGGGGAGGAGGAGAACAAGTCTAAGCTTCATCTGGTGGCATGGGAGAGGATGATTCTACCTAGAGATCAAGGTGGAGCTGGGCTCCGATCCCTTAGACAAGCCAACATGTCAATGCTTGCTAAGAATGGTTGGCGGTTTCTCAAAGAGAAGGAGACACTCTGGACCGAGGTTATGCGAGCTAAGTACAGCCGAGGAAACAAGGATCTGGACATCTTCAAGCCTATTCAAGGGAGTTCCTTTACCTGGAATAGCTTTGTGAAGGCTAGCAACCTTCTTCGGAAGGGTAGTGCGTGGAATGTTAAAAATGGGAAACACACTAATTTTTGGTCGGACGTTTGGGTGATGCAGGTTCCGCTCAAGGAGTTGGTGCTGTCCCCGATCCTGGAGGAGCTCGAGGACGCGACGGTTGCAGACTTCATCACTCCGGAAGGACGCTGGAGGACTGACATGTTCGGTAACATTCTCCCGCTCGAGGTGCAGCAGAAGATCACTAGTATAGCGGTGGACGACCTATCTACTGAGGACGATACTCTGTTTTGGGCAGCCTCATCCGATGGGAGATTTACGGCAAAATCGGCGTACAAACTCCTTAACCAGTAGCATCAGCATCCCGATGCAAAGCTTTGGAAGACGATCTGGAGCCTTCCCGGCCCGGAGAGGATTCACACCTTTATGTGGTTGGTTTTATCAGGGAAGATCGCCACCAACTCGTTTCTGTGCTATAGGAAAATTGCTCCAAGTCCCGATTGCTGTCTGTGTCAGGGCCAGCCAGAGACAATCCTGCACGTCCTTAGAGATTGTGCCCCGGCAGCCTTCTTCTGGTCACGGACAGTCCCTGTGCAGAAACAAGAAGCCTTCTTCAGCAACGATGTCTCCCTTTGGTTACGAAGGAACCTGGAGGAGACCGATGATGATACGATGGGCATCCCGTGGCACTCTT